ATTTTTTTGTAACTGGAGCAGCTGGAACTGGAAAATCATACATTATTCATTTATTAACAAACTACCTAACACAAAAAGAGGCAATTTTTACTAATGGCTCCAATCGGAGTTGCTGCCCAAAATATCAATGGTAAAACTATTCATTCTGAACTGCATATAATATCAACAGAGAGTGGCTACAAAACCTTATATTTACTGATCATGCTTTAACTGACTGCCTCCATCAAATTGACACAATAATAATTGATGAAGTTTCTATGGTTTCAGCTCCATTACTTCTGACACATTTGCAAAACTTAACAACAATCACCATCCCTTTGGAGGTATCAATGTAGTGTTAATTGGTGACTTAGCACAATTACCACCTGTCAACACACCAAATGTATTTTATTCTCCTGTGTGGAGAATTTTTCATCCATTATTTCTTACTGAGTCTCAACATCAGATATCTGACCCCATATTTTTCAAGTTACTGCAAGAATACAGACAGGAAACATATCTAATGACTCTTGGACCATACTTGAACAAAAACACATACAATCACTGAATGAATGCCTTACTCCATCTGCTTTAATACTATGCAGATTGTTGGATACTGCTAATCAGCTGATCATATTAACATTTCCGTATGCAATATGCTACCAATAGAAAACAACCAATATCTTTTCACCAAGCTGATGATTACAAAATGTGGTTAGACAATACAGCACAGCCACTTTTTAAATCTCACACTAATTTCCCTGACCAGTATGATTACAACCAGGTGCCTGTGTCATGTGCCTTAGTAATGACAAGTACAGTGAAGGCATATGCAATGGAACAATCAGCATTGTTACTGAAGTTGATTGCAATTCAAAGGAGTACAAATAGCATTCAGTGTCACAGGTAAAATAATTAATGCTGAAGTCAGTCTAAAAACTATAAACTTTTATGCAAATGGAAAACCTTCATCCCAGACACAATTTCCTTTACAAAACTGCTTTGCATTAACTGTCCACAAAGCCCAAGGACTGACTCCAAAAAATTTCCATATTCTTAGACAATCAATTTTTTGCACCAGGACAAGCTTATGTTGCATTAAGCTGAGCAACATTATGGGAAAATGTTAGTATTTCTATGTTAGACAGAAAAGCTTGTTGTGTCAACCCATCTATTAATGAAGAATATTCCCATCTTATTCAACAAGCAAACACTATTTCCTTTTAATATTAATACTTTATTAATTAATTTTATTCACTTATTCATTTATTCATCCATTTATTAATCAATCAATTTATTTATTTACTTATTATTTATTTACTTATTTATTTATATCCTTACCAACTAACAAATTAAAAAAGTCTTATTACCAAAAGCAAAATTTTAGCATGCAAACATATGATTGTTTTACAGTATTAACACCTGATCATGAGAAATAACATTCCCATACACTTAACTTTTTTTTTAGAAATATAAATTTCTCACTCAAAAAGTTTATAAAACTTTGAAAAAAAATACCAATTACTAAAAAATGTTCATCCATATCCATTCATCAGCAGCACTTATCAATAACTTGAAAAAAATTAACTGGGGCAAACACAACCTTCAACTAATGGACGCCCAAATCATAAACCTTGATGATCAATGCATTCACTTATTATTATCAATAACCTCATGGCTACTGAAAAACATTGAAACAAATGCTCATATAGACAGTAACAAAAAACAATGTCATTGATCTCAACAGAACCATAACCAAAATAAAAAATAACAAACTCTCCATAACCACATACTGACTCGAAATAAATAACTATGATCATCTAACCTCCCTCCAAACAAGTCATATATCCTCACTGCTGGAATCATTAAAACGACACCACAACAAGAAGATCAAATAGTCTTCAGAATATCTGCAGCACAACATAAAGGCAACAGGACTGCCACCAACCCATTTAATGAATGCAGTATTTTCTGCATGCATGACACCTCCCAGGCACACCTACAAGCACATACAACAAAACTACAACCACGCAGTAAAGTGTGGATTATGGGAGATTTTGGTGTAGATGAAGATCAACTATATGTCCAATTGGACAATATGGAGTATATGTACAGTACCCTGCCATAAATGATTTTGTGTGTCCTTTATTATACACAGCTAAGGTGGACCTCTAAAGCTGCCCTGCCATAATAATAAATGAGTGATCACCATGAAATTTAGTTGATCAAATGTTAAAAGTTGTTTATATAAAAAATAAATTGTTTACTAAGACAATCGGCCATTATGTACTAAGTAAACTTGTTTGCAATATTAACCTTCATAAGTCTTGTAACTTTCATAAGTTTTGCATGAATTCTGAGTGAGATATTTTTGCTTACGTTAAGGATGAAGATTTTAAAGAATTTATTGTAAGAAGTTTGTTATAATGCAACTTAAAAAAGTCATTATTAACTATTTTTTGTATCCTTAAGTAAAAAGATTTCTCACATTTTAAATATTTAAATGCAAAATTTCCAAAATTTTGGTTGAGATTTTTGTTGAATAATAATTTAAATAGACAAGTTTTTAAAATTTAAATTTATGTAGTTGTATTTTGTTTAATATTTGCCAGAATCCAGTAATACGTAGCAATTAGACGCGTCTCCTTATTGCTAACAACTGTGATTAATACGTATTGTTTACTAACACATGAAAACAAAAGTTTGTATATAAGCAACCAGATGAGATGCATCATTTCGTGTTAGATATCTTATACTGAATTTTGTGTTACCTTGTTTTTATAATAGTTTTTATTATTATGGCGCCCAAAAAAAAGAACTAAATCATTCCAGTGTGGACAATTATTGGTGCTTGGAAAGTGGGTTCAAGTTTAAGAAAAATTGCACAGACACTTGATCACCCTTACACAACAGTCCAGAAAGTCATTAAGACTTATAAAGATCATGGTCTTATTAAACCTTCTCCTGGGAAAGGGAGACCAAAAACATTATTAGACAGAGATAAACATGCTTTAATAAAAGTTGTCAAAAAGGGTAGAAAAATGACTCTTCCAGGTAGAATTCTCATTTATCTATTTTTAATCAAATTTATTTTGCTAACTATAATTTCTACCTTGCATATTGCACTTAAGTGTTACGGCAAGCGGATCTGCTGAAGCAGAAAAGTGAGTCACATGATAAAATCTTCCTCCGCAGTTCCCCGCAGTCG